AAAGGGGAAAAGTTGTTGGGGAGTGGAAGGGAGGCAAACCACGAGAGACTCTTGAATGCTGAGAACAAACTGAGGGCTGATGGGGGTGGGGGAAAGGGGAAGGGGGGTGATGGGCATGGAGGAGGGCACTTGTTGGGATGAGCACTGGGTGTTATATGAAAACCAACTTAACAATAAGCTGTTTAAGAAAGAAAAAAGAAAAAAAAAAGCTAAAACACCAATAAATAAATAAATAAATAAATAAAAATAAAAATAATGTTGGTTGCCTCTAGCCTGTCCTAGACTTCTTTAGAGCTTTAATTTCTATTTGATTTATAGAAATATGAGAGGATAGAAGTTCATGGTCAGATGACAAAATGGACTTTTGTGGAACTGATGGCCACATAACAGCTAAAGGAGATCTAGGGTGTGGTTCAGATATCCCTTCAAACTTTTGCAACTTATCAACTCATTGTAGGCTGAGAAGAACATTTTTAAAAATTATTACTATATAATTTTTTAGTTTCTGCTTTAAATACAAATACAATGGACTAAACTGCAAACATTTTCGCTAGCACACTTTCCAGGTTCTGGAGATAAAACAAATTAAATTACATGTGCTTTTTGAGGTCTGAGCCCCTTAATTATTTAGTAAGAGAAGTGGGGAGCTAAGCCAAGGACATTTCTTCCTTTTCTGTCAGGTTTCTCTGTGAGAATCCTTTGACTATACTCAGTTTCCCCCGTTTTCAGCTTCCTGTGGTATCAGATGTTTAAGAGGAAAGGCAAAATCTGTTTTTTGAGATATCTATTTAACAGAGAGTTCAGAAATCCCCACTTTAGTGGCTTTGAAATAAGCTTCTTCTGACCTATTTCAGGGCAAATTTCCATCTTTTCGAGGTGACCCTGGGACACCATATGCTCTCCACAGAGCATATGGGCATTTATGGTCATTCCATCTAGATCATGGAGACGAGAAAGCTTGGCATGGCCAAAGCCACTTTCTCCTTTGGACATTTATGGAACTGTAATCCTTCCCTAACCAGGATGGATTGTGTAGGAGATAAACACTGCCAAGTTAATATTGTCAATGGTCAAATTATAAAAAACAAGACTTAGGGGCACCTGGGTGGCTCAGTTGGTTTAGCATCTGACTCTTGATTTCAGCTCAGGTCATGATGTCACTGTTTGTGAGATCGAGCCCTGTGTCAGGCTCTATACTGACAGCATGGAGCCTGCTTTGGATTCTCTCCCCCTCTCTCTGCCCCTCTCCAGCTCATGCATGTGCACGTACATGAGTTCTCTCTCTCTCTCTCAAAATAAACAAAAACTAAAAAAAAAAAAAACTTAGCATACTGACTGGTTAATAACATTTAAAGAGACCTTTTCTTTAATACAGAAGTCCCCTCCAATATCAGCCTTACACTCATAATTGCAAGCTGGCTGGTGACCTATGGTTTTACAACAAAATATGCCACGAACAAACATGACCCAGAGTCATCTAACATATCTAAATGCTGAAACATTCCCTTTCCCATAGGTCACTTATTCTGTTATTTAGTAGCCAGAAAGTAATATTTTTGAAAGTCTATAAGCAACCAAATGGATTTCTCAATACCCATATATTAAGTTTATAATAGTTTCTTTATACAGTCCCTCTGATATTCACTTTGTCTCTGTATATTCTTGTTGTATGCAAAATTTTAACAAGCTTAGGAGTATGGTTTTCCAGTCCATAATATATTACAAACAATATATCACAAGGGAAATCTCATTAGAATGAGCAAGAAGTCATGATGACGGTCATATTGTGATGTAGGATGCAGAGAAATGAGAAAAGGCAGTTTCAAAAATTTAAAATAAACAAACATCACAGTAGCCCAGGGCCATTTTGTACAGAAATTTGGTTCTCTCCACTCATTATGGAAAGCATTTCCATATTACAACCCTGCAGGATAAAAGGATGTTCGTGGTGTAGACCCTGAATTGTCAAGCAAAGTAAAGAGAGAAAATCATGACAGGCAACCTCTGTTTGTGAGGCAGATAAGCATTCGATATATGTTAGAAGTATTTTCAAATAAAATAGCTTAAATAAAACACATTCAAAGGCTCCAATGGATAAGTGATGGTTAGCTGGAAAATTCATTTATGTCAGACGCCATACTTTGTGATAATATCAAATAAAGTGATGTCGGAAACCGGCTCCGGCCAGAGTCCAGGGGTCCCTGAAGGATGGATGGTGTCAGCAAGGGAGGGGTGAGAGAGGCCCGGGAGTCTTTCTGGTCACTAGGCAGGCATCTCTGCTCTGACTGGGGCTCAACTTTATTTTATAAGTGTTTGGGGGACAGCACAGAAGTGGCATTTGCCTTAGACAATGATTTCTGGTAACAAACTTCTTTGATATGTAAGAATTTTCCAAAACATAGATTTGTAGAGGACTTCTGCATAACCTTTATCAATAGTGAGATAGGTGATTTAGATGCTTATCCTATGGGGAAGAAGGCATCTTTAGCATATCAGACAATGTTTTTAGCATAAAAGGGTGAAGTTACTTCTTTGTGAGCAGGGGTCAAACAGGTCTTTCAGGAGACACCTTTGCTTCCATAATCACAAAAAAAGTTCCTCAATAGGTTCCTTCACAGGGAGCAATCAGCATATCCAAGGCCAGAATAAGTCACTCCAAATACTTGGTAACAAATGCCTTGGGGTTGGGGGGGGCAGTGCTCCAAGCAGAAACAATTGGGTGGGGGTGGATATCTGCCCTTAACTCTAAATTAGGCTCTTTGTCTCAGGGCTAGACTCAAGCCCCCTTTATTATGTAAGTCTTGGATCTGCAAGGTCCTTAGGAAAAGCCTTTTCACAATCATCCACAGTTTTCATCTGAAATCTCTTTGGAAAAGGCAGGGACATGCCTTTCCTTTTGAGCAATCTGTGTGGGGAATATTGGTCTGATCTGGAATATTGTGAGGCCCGGTCAATACCAGCAGCCTCATTTCCAACATGAGCCAGTAGTAGCAGAAGGAGATACCAGTTTTCATTTCTCATGGCAGGAGCTGTGCAAATGCTACCATTTCCTGGCTGTGACTGTCATCTAGCGAGGCCAGTGCGGCTCCCAGCAAAGTGAGGTAAGTTGCCTGGTTAAGAGTTGAAGAGTATAGCCAATACAATTTTCATGTCAGAGACATACTGAAATACTTCTGAGATAAAACTTCCTCAATGAAATTTAATAATAATATATTATTTTTGTTCCTAACATGGCTGGAGTTGGGGTTGGAGACAGGAAGACCAAAAAAAAAAAAAAAAAAAAGGTCTCTATCCTATATACAAAATGGTTGCACCTGACTGGTTACCTACATTTGGTAAGCTGTGGGGAAGATAAATACTCCAATCTGTGTAAACTTCAGACAGTCTAATTAATAACAGATTCAAATAACTCAGTTAGCAAATATTTTCAGTAGAGGAATTGTAGTTTCATATTTAAACAACCAAAACCAGCGGTGGAAAACCTTAACATCCTAGTGTTCGGCTTACCATATTTCAGTATTGTATTTGGGAAACAGACGGGTACTCAAATGCTGCATGCATTGTTTCACACTCACCTGGTTTCTCTGGAGGAGACACCAAGGATATTTTCTCCTCCCTGGTTATTAGATTTGCATTTATCTGGCTTCTTGGATACTATGGAGATAAGTGCTTTGAAATTACCCAGCGAGAAGTGGATTAATGGTTTTGTTTTTCAAATATCTTAGTAAAAGATTTGAAAATTATTATTTGTAAGGTTGTAAGTAGATACTTAATGAGGCATGGCAAATTGAGTATCCCCTCCAGACACACTGAATTAGCACTGTGGACCAAAAACCTACAAAATAAAAATATTCTAAGCTAAAGTCAGAAGTTCTCAGTGTTCCTCATTTACCTCTGCTTCCCAAAATTCACTTCTGGGAATGACCCATGTTGTCTGTTGAACACATTGTTTTGAATTTGCTCTATTCGCAGCTCCTGATGGGGGCTATGAGGTGCTGGTGGGGCGTAGGCAGTGCCTCCTCTATCATCAAGTTAGCACGAGCTTTTCAAAGTCCCAGGGTCTCAGTCATTCCACATCTTTCATGAATCCCCTACCTGTCAAGGGTGATATGTATCTGTAGTGATGCAGGAATGAGAGTTAGCGATGACAGTTTGAGCTCTAAGAAGTCAAGGAAGCCTCTGGAGTTCTGTGACAAAGATTTACCAGTGGGAAAAAGTTTTTCCACTCGGAGGCATCCTACTCGACTCCTGTCCATCCCAAGTCAGTATTTCCTTCTTTCCTCACAAATTCAGTGGGCACTCCTTCATTTTAGGTCCAAGTATACTGGTAATACTGGCTTCTCTTTACATCAGTTCTTTTCCTACCTCTGATGCCATCGATGAGAGCTCATTTCTTTTTCTCTATCTGTCTGGTTCACCTGCTTTGGGAGGGAGTAGGCTCTTGGATTCTAATCTCCATGTGATTCTCTGTAATAAGGGAGACCACCTTCTCCCCACTCCAAGTCAGTGATGGCACTGTCCTAGAAGTGAACTTAAATTATTGTGTAGTGTCTCAGAATGTGCCCAGTTGGCTTTTACCCATGATTGACAGAGGGATTGTAGCTCAAAATGGTGAATGGAAATAACTACTGAGTAATTTTTAAAAAGACATTAGTGTTTAAAGCACTTTCAAATGTTTGATCTTTTGTGAATGTCAAAATGGTCCTGTGTGGAAGGTAGTATATATAGGAATTAGTTGTATCATCCTTATTCTACAGAGGAAGAAACTGAGGGAAAGTGACTTATCCAGAGTTATACAATAAGGTATTGGCAGAAGAAAAAATGGACTGAGGACCTCTGGGTCTGCCATACTTTTTACTTCTGGCTGCTGGCTCTCTTGGGCATTGTAATGCTGCAGTATGACACCATAAACAACAGCAAGTCAGTGTTGTCCTGGATGTGAAGGTGATTGTATGGATCCTATGAAAGGTAAGTGTGCCACTATTCATCTTCTTGTCCCTCGTGTGACAATGTCAGACATTTCCATGCTGTTTGGGATTCATGAGTAATGAAGCCTTGGAATGAGGTAAAACTAACTGGTCCTTCTGGCAATGAAGTCTTTGACCTGATTAGCATCAGGCTCTGTCTAATCAAGAGAATCATGTGTAATGACTAGATTGATAAGCTTTCATTAAAGGGGGAGAGAAAACCAGAAAATGCCTATAAATATATGATATATCAAAGTAAAACAATGTTATGTGCCCTTCCTTATATGAACTCTGATGAAGTTAATAAGTTTATTTATAGATTTCTTCTTTGGAGCTGAAATTCTAGAATGAAACTGGCAAAGGTAAGGCCCAAATGACAGTGTTGCAGGGACTCCTGCCTTCCCTGCTCTCTCTCATGTTATAAACACATTTCAAAGAAATTTTAACTTCCACACTCCTGTGGTCCTGCCAGCTCAATTAGAGGGGCCAGCCTGGCCTTTTTTACCATGCCCTGTGGGGGTGCCCTTTGATATCGGTGGGGGATCCTAGGGTTGAATGAGAGAATAGAATGAGAAGCTGACTTCAGGGGAATATTTGATCTGAGCTTGGTCATGGTGAGAGCAGACACCGCCTGTGAGGATAGTTTGATGCCAGCTGAGGAGATCAGCCTCTGCCAAGCTGACTGCGCTGGAATGCAGGCGTTTACCTTAGCTAAACCTTGAATGACTGCCTGTGCATCCTCAGTGAGCATACTCAGGGAGTTGAGAGTTCCAGACAATCGTGATGCCAGATCCGCTTTCTGAAGCAGGAGGCTTGTTCAAGTTCCATATTGAAACTTCCTGCTGAAAATGTTACAGAGAACAAGTGAATGGTACAACAAATCCTAGAACCTGACTCAGTGGCTGAGAACTGTAGGGCTGCTTTAACCCCACCCCCGGCTTTATCCTCATCACCTCGTCTCACTTAGATCCTGAGAGTACTGGCTGTTTCTCCCACCATCTATGTTGACTGAGAGAAGAAAGGGAAGAAGCAAAGATGGAGAGAAATGAAGAGTACAATGGCACAGTGGGAGAAGGAGGGATGGAAAATGAGGCCCGTTTCTGAGTGGTTTGCATACTTGGGGCAAAAACAAATATTAAAACAAGGTCCCATGCCAAACAAAAGACTCTTCTTTCCTGTGTATCCTTGACTTCAGACAACAAAATTTCCTTCAGTAAAGATTTTACTGTCATCCACAAACACACAGTCAAGATTCATCTTGCTACCTCTAGCCCTTGGAACACTGTGACTGAGGGCAGTCAGGTTCCTAGGAGTGCTTGATGGAAAAGCCAAGTGCCCATTCCTCAGTGAGCTCAAAGCCTGCTTTCCTCTCCTCCTATGCTAATAAATGACCATTACAGGATACACAGAGTCACTGTCCATCTGATGTCCACAATATATACAGAGCCAGCCTCTCTTTGAAACACTGTATTAGGAGACAATACTGGTGCAGAATAAGGAAAAAAGGAAGGAATGAGCTAGATTAGATGAACCTCTCCATATCTGTTTGGTCTAATTTTTCAGAAGCAAGAAGGTGATTGAAATATAAGAGTAAATAGACACTGTGTTTGTCATAAAAAACTAAGGCAACTAACACTGGAACACTTTCTTCTATGAAACAAGTGCTCAGAGTCCTTATAAATATGGCATATGGTTCAATGATTGACACCAAAAAACCTCATATAAAAAGACACTGGAGGAAAACAACAAATTAAGGTCCATTTCAACTTGAATTTATGAAAAATCATGGTGTCTCACTTCCAAAAAAATAAAGGAACTTCTGAAATATTTTTGGCTCTCCTGGGCTAGGAAGATTAGTTTTGCCTAAATCAAGTGGCATTAGTGTCAATCAAAGCATGTCATTCAGAACCATTATCGGGAGATAATGAAGACCATCTCCAATGTGGTCTGTGAGATTTTTGGAAAACATCTGTTCCTGTAGCAATGCATGCTGCTCCGTATGATCCACATGAGTTGTTTCCATTTTCAAAATGTACTACTCTATTGGGACAGAATTGAAGGAATAAATTATTTTCTCTAGTTAATGCCTCAGGTCAGACACCTTCCTGAGTCAAGTATTGTTACAGGCAGAATTGTCTAAAAGCATAATGCATGACTCATGAGCACATATGGCAATGATATTTAAAATGAGGCCTGGGTGTGGAGATCCATTTTTACTTATTGTGCCATTTGCACTAATGAGGGCTTTGCAGTGAAGACCAATACAGCCTGTGTGGTTCTAGCCACTCTTCGGGGAGCAATGGAGAATCTATTATCAGGAAGTCATAATACTTGGTTACTCCTGGTTATAGAAAAGAAAAACACAGTGTTAACTTTAACTTTTTTCAAACAGAGACAAATAGAAAAATATCAACTTGTTTTTGTTTACTGACTTGCTAGTTTTCCTCACCATACTCTGTCAGAAAGAGGAGAGCTTGACCACAAAGCGTGTTGGGGATGTGACCAAAGACTGGTTCAGAGAACGACTTGGTGCCATTCAGGTCCAGAATCCATGTGGACACATCAGCTCCAGTGGAGCAGATGCCCCATCCAAAAAGAGTGCACAGTATTGTGAAAATCTCCCAGGCTATACTTGAACACACAGGGGCTAAGTGGACATCATCAAGGCTCTAGAGATGTGGCCATGGGAGGGGAAAGACACTGGTTCTCTGGGGAAGCCTATTAACAAAATCCATGAAGGACCTCAGAGCCTCCATGAGCTGTCAGTGTTCCTCCCAAGGTCTCACCCCAATGGCTGTTGCCATCTCTTTCTGTGCTTCTATTTTGCAACTGCCCAGTCCCACAGGATCAGGGCAGGATCAAATCTGAGCCAAAGAAGACTTTCCATTGTAACATGATGTTGGGGCTGGGGTTAAAATGAAGCAAGTGCAGAGTCAGACTTTGATTTTATGTGAAGTTTTAGATTTTGTTCATCATGCATTTGGGGGAATTGCTTTTCTAAAAAGCATTGCACACACATATTTATTTATGTATTTATATTATTTTGAGTTTTTAAAATGTTATTTATTTCTGAGAGATAGAGAGGAGAGAGAGAATTCCAAGCAGGCCCTGTACTGAGAGCAAAGAGCCTGATGTGGGGCTCTATCTTATGAACTGTGAGATCATGACCTGAGCTGAAATCAAGAGTCAAACGCTTAACCGACTGAGCCACCTAGGTGCCTCCCCCCCCCCAAATTATTTAAAATTATACTAATTGCTGAATTTTATTGAACACCTTAAATTTTGCACCTGAGTTGAGCACCTCAGTTGCATTACCTTGATTTCATTCTTTGACACTTACTGTCATCAATTATGATTTAAACAGCAACAGCTTAAACTGATGTTTCTCCAGTGGGTGCTCATAGAGTTTAAAGAATAGTCTTTTTAGGGGGCGCCTGGGTGGCTTAGTCGGTTAAGCGTCCGACTTTCGCTTAGGTCATGATCTCGCGGTTC